TTCCCAGGCAGAGTGTGGAAGTAAACCAGTCAGGGCAATGTTCTTGAGAAAGATGGAGATGGTAGGGGGAAAGCCAGCCAGAGCTGCATGAAAGCAGAAATGCTATGCAAATGAGATGGAACCCAGAATGGGGCTGTGGGGGCTGGTTTTGAGATGATGACCATTGGTAATAAAGGCCGACAGTCACACACCACACTCCAGGCAGTATTCTGGGATTATACTGTTCGCTTCTCAGACCTCCACAACCAGCTTATGAGGTAGGCATCAGCATTAGCTCCATTTTGGAGATATTATTTGATCAGTGTCATGTGCATGGAAGACAGTAAAGTTTGGGTTCAAACCCAGACAGTTGGACTCAAGAGCCTGTGTGTTACACTGCATTACAAAAAGTCATTGGTGTGTAAATTTCAAAAGAAGTTATAAAATGTGAGTTTTTTTATCCCACTGCTGTGGTGTAAATGACTGTGTCCCTCCAGGTCCATATATTAGAACATTATTACATCATCTTTACTGTGGTGCAGGGAAGTGATTAGGTCACAAGGGTGGAGCCTCAGAGTAAGATCAAAAAAGGAAACCTGAAGGAGCTTGCTTCTCCCTTCTACCCTGAGAAGATGTGGCAAAAACAGCCATCCTGGAATAGCGAGAAAGTCAGACCCCAATCTGCCGGCAGCTTGATCTTGAACTGCTGGGCTTCAGGAAGCTGAGCGAGGACTTCCTGCCAAGTGAAATTCTCTGGTCCATGGTGGTTTTGTTATTGTAGCCTGAGTGAACTAAGACACCTATTTTAGTTCTTGTATTTATTTTTCCCTTTTAATGTTAACCTTGAAATTCTCACAGGTCTGATTTTTCCCGTGTGAATGTCTGGAGGAGTTATTTGCGAGGAGGAGTTATTGCTTTAGGGACTGCTCTGCTGTTGTTATTCTCCTGACAACCAGCTTAAGCAGGAGACTTTAGTCATTTATTGCTTCACAATAGTATCTGTGAATAAGCAAATATGTTTCACCTGGACACCTACCTGTGATGTTTTCAACTCTGCCTTTTCTTTTGGCTTTTTTTTGACACAAGGTCTCACTGTGCAGTTCAGGCTGGCCCTGAACTCACAGTGATCCCTCTGCCTCAGTCTTCTGAGTGCTGGGAGTACAGGTATGTAGCATCACCTGTGGATCAACCCAATTCTTTACTAACAATATATGGTAGCCAATCATCCAGATGTCTACAGTAATCCTTCTCTTTTGTTGTCTGTCCTTTTCTGTAATGTCCTACATTTGACTGTTGGCTGAGCTCAATGTCTTCCTTCTAATAAACAGTCTTAGGTAGAAATGATGGTGTATGATCTAGAGTCTAAACTATAAAAGGCAGTGATCTCTGAGAGGAGCCATGCTGTGAGCTTGTCCTTAGAAAGGTACACAAGGCGTGATCAAATTGTACAATGCATGTTTCAATTTTTTAAAATTACAGTAAAATACACCTTGCTACCAATCCCCTCAAAATTGTCCCACACTTTGAACGTATTTATCCCATTATTCTTACCATATTCTGAAACAGTTCTGGAAGACCTCTTTTGGAAGTGGCTTTATGAATTGTAGAATTATGAAATTGTGGGAATTGTGAAAGCTGCTGTTGAATCCCATTCAATGGAAAGGCAGGCTCATAAAAATATGGTGTGTCATCCATATTATTCACCAGCACCATACAATTTCCAGGAATTCTACAGGCAAAATGACCATGAAAGGTAATTGGTGTGAATGGATTTGTGACATCACAGCAGCCATGAAAATACAAATAAAGGCACTCATGAAAGAGAACATCTAGAACTGCTTAAGAAAGGGGTAGACTGACAAGATAAGTGTGTTGGGAGTGGGGGAGAGTGCTTTTGAAGGGAATTAATGGCAATGTATTTTTACTGCAATACATTAAAAAATTAAACATTCAACATATTTTTGATCACACTTCTTATACTTGGCAAAGAACTAAAACTTGCAAAAAGTTGTGTGAGTTTAGAAGTATATTATTCAATCCACCAATAGCTGTACCATCTCATGGCACAGTTTTCCAGGGATGATCCTAGTTTTAGTTCTAAAACTGTATTTCCTGGGAAACTCTTTCATGGTGGAAAACTGGAATGAGGTCTCCCCAGCTTGGTTCATAGGCCTCTGGAGAGCCTGTGATCCAGGACCACCTACCTAGGCTGCTCCCCATCTGACTTCCAGCTGTTCTGTGAGATGCTACATCTTCTGTGCTGTGTGGTAATTTGGGAATAATTTGTAACTCAGCACTCAGTAGCTGATACACACTGCACATTGCCTTGCACCCCTGCACCAGGAAGCGATGTTCTGCCTTCTCCAAGATCTGCAGAAGAAGAAAAATATAAGGGGTGGGCTATAATTTTCTTCACCAGCTATTTAAACTCAGCCTCCAGATTCTATTTCCTTACAGGGCAGAGTGTTTTGTTTTTGCTGGCACCTTAATTTTCATTTCAACTGCAAGAGAGAAATGTTTCCAGAATTGTCTTCTCTTTGGAATAGCAGGAGACCAAGCATGAAAAGTAATACAATTACTGCCTATGAGCAGCCTGCAAGAACAAATGCCTAAATTAGATAAAATAAATAAAATGCTGAAGAGTTTTCTGTCATCTTTCACTCTCAGTACACCCCTTGAAGAAGAGTCTGGAACAATATCTCATTTTAGAATTAGTTTTAGACATCAAGAAGATATGATATTCATCACATTTATATTGAGATTTCAAGTTTAGAAACAGAAATCACTGCTTTTTGCTTAGTAAGTAGATTAACAGGAATCCAAAGTGTAGTAATAAATTTGATTCCCCCCTACACACACACACACACACACACACACACACACACATCTTTTCTTCCTCCCTCCCTCCCTCCCTTCCTTCCTTTTCTTTCTGGTACTGGACATTGTATGCAGGAACCCCCTACCACCAAGCTGCACTGCTGACTTTGAACTTGTAATCTTCCTGCTTTAGCATCCTAAACTGCTGGGGTTAAGAACATGTGCCACAAAGCCCAGCTAAATTCGAGTTCTCAGTTTCATTTTTCAAATGTGGGGATTTGTAATAGTCTGGTGATACTGAGCTTAAAAGATACTGTCTAAATATTCTGGTTCATATATATAATGTTACTGCAAAATATTAGCCAAGCCCCATGCAATTAATATGTCAAGCTCAGAACAAATGCATTTTAATTTAACCTAAGAAATACATGTATAGCCTTTCTATGATTTCACTTTACTAAGAAGGGTAAAATTAAGCTTTCTTCTCTTGTTGTTTAGCATATGCCCTTTATTCCGTTAGAACTTCATTTCTTTGGAAACGCAGGATGAGGCCCTTGATGGGTGAGGTGGGGTCCAATGCTTTTGCAGGAAAGGCGCAGGAAGTGAAGGGCAAGGCTGAACCCTTTCTGCATTTGAAGGAACACTTGAGGCAGAGTTTGGAGGCTGAGTTTCATAACCATGCTTTGAATGGAGGACTCCTACTGCATGAATATGAAATATAAATCTCCCAATGCTAATATTGCAAATCAGAAAATAACTGCTATAGGCAGAACAATCAGATGAGTTGTATTTTATCTCAAGTTAAATATTTAAGAAAACTTGCAAATTTCTTTTTTTAGAACATCAATAAAGATTACTTATATTTAACATTCCATTAAACAAGGAAGCCTCATGTATTTGAAAAATTCTACAGGCTGGGGATTTAGCTCAGTGGTTCCAATGCCTGCCTTACAAGTGCAAGGTCCCGAATTTGATACCTGGTACAAAAAAAAAAAAAAAAAAAAAAAAAAAAAAA